CGAAGGACCATTTGTTGGACACCGGGTGTGCCCGTTACTATACCTATTGTATATATTTAATTGATTTGGAGATGTTCACTTTTTACTATATTGAAACACGTCTTTGACTAATGGTGTTTAATGAACAACTGAAGTAAAAAAGTAAAAAAACAAAGCGTCAAAATATAAAAAACATTCCAAAAGAAAAAATACAAAAAACGCATATAAAAAAGGTCTGTCGCCAACATGTGCAGTACAAATTCACTAGTTTTTTCTTAACTACAGTGGGTGCTTTATTATAATAATAACTTTTTGTTTTCGATATTCACGACTGAGGATCAAAGCAACTCATTTCTTCCCAGTGTCCACCAGTAGGGGACAACGCCAGACGGCAATCTATTTTAATGAGGGTTTTCGCGATTGAAAAATCCGCCAGATGGCAATACGTAGACGCGAGGTCCAAATGCTGCATGATTGGTTATTTTTGACATGACATTGACAGATATGTCAAAATCCACCAATCACGCAGCATTTGGACCTCGCGTCTACGTATTGCATCTGGCGGATTTTACAATCGCGAAAACCCTCATTGCAAAAAAATATCGTAATAAAATATATTCTTCCTTCCAGGGTCGTTGCGTATTCGCCTCCGGCTCTCCTTTCCCTCCCGCAGTCTACAACGGCAAGGAATACCACACGGGCCAGGGCAACAACTCGTACATATTCCCGGGAATCGCGCTGGGAGTCATCGCCACCGCCACCCATCATATCCCGGAGACTATGTTCCTTACCGCCGCTAGGGTAAGTTGTGTTATTGTACTTACTAAAGCCCGGTCTGTGAGCACGTAGAATTTTGTCCAATGACCCCAAGCTACCCATCCTTATCGCTCGCGCGTAATTATATTGCTGTCGCGACTGTGCGACGGGCGCCCGCTCGAAGTGAGTGTGCGAGCGCGTCATTGGACAAAATTCTACGTGCTCACACACCAGACTATAGTATGATTAACATGATACCTGTCCATTTCATGATTGCGGTAGCAATGGCAAACTATCACACATGACTATTCAACTTTCACTGGTTGGGTTTCATTAGATACTATAGATCGTTTCATCCACGAAGACGCGCCCCACCNTCGTCTCTACGAGCTATGTGCCCCGCCCACTGCCACTTGATTTTAGCAATTCTGCGAGCTATGTCGGTTACTTTGGTTCTCCTACGGGTTTTATCTGGTACACGCTAAATCATCCAACTCCCCGCACCTCGCGCTTCCCTCGACCAAAAATTGGTGGGGTCTTCGTGGATGAAACGATCTATAAACTGTAGATGAAATGAAATTAAATCAATTTGTTTATTTATGCAAGTAGACTCCCAAAGAGCACTTTAACATGTCCCAACCCTACCATCTTGGATCTACCATCTTACCATAGCGTGGGACGTCCACCCACAAGGTGGACCGGCGACATCATAAAGGTAGCAGGAAAGCGCTGGACGTAGGCCGCTATCAATCCATCGACATGGAAAGCATTGGGGGAGGTCTATGTTCAGCAGTGGACGTCCTATGGCTGAAATGATGATGATGATGATAAACCCTACCATCTCGGCTAACCCTGGCCATACAAGAGTTGGTGTGGTGGGTAAGAGAGGTAGCATTTTAGTGGTCATGCCGGAATGAGTAAACACTTCGTTATTATTCCCTGGCGTGGAATCTATCACATACTGCAGAGTCCGTTCTATGTTTTCTAGGTTGCTGGTATCATAACAGAAATTACTTGTGAAAAGTCTTTTTGGTCAATGAAAAATTCCCTGTCAATATTTTGGTGTTACAGAAAAATGGTCCTTAAAATAAGTTTTTGCAAAAGATTTACGACCATAATAACGTGTCTATAAGTACAAATATTCATTGCAGACGCTTGCCAACTACGTGAGCGAAACAGATCTGTCCATCGGCCGCATCTATCCCTCGCTGGCCGAGGTTAAGGAGGTGTCTGTGGCCATCGCTATTGAGGTCGCTAAAATGGCGTACGATGAAGGTAATTATTACATTTTTTACAGTTAAGTTTATTACCTAGATATTTTTTTACTAGCTTTTGCCCGCGGCTTCACCCTCGTGAAATTTAGTGTCACAGATCGGCATAAATTATAGCCTATATGTTAATCTGGGTTACAAACAATAATACTATAAAGTTTCAACAATATCCGGTCAGTAGATTTTGCGTGAAAGAGTAACAAACATCCAGACATCCAAACTTTCGCATTTATAATATTAGTAGGATTAGTAGGATAGTAGGACGATTGTCTCTTATTAGTATGATCTTTCTTCTTGATCAGGCTTTTGCTGTAGATGATTATTTCTGTTCTTTTATTTCATTACTGACTGTACATAATATGTAAAAGCACCTCGTTTTGAAAATACATTTCTTTTCGCTCTCCCAAATATAGGTGGTCTTACCTTACGTGGGGTGTTAAGGACAATGTTTTTGTACGCGTAATGTTTCGTGAAACATAATGTTACTCACTCATACATTTGTTTATTAATTAATCGAGCACATATGACTCATTTCTTCAGCGAACTTAACTGAATCTAAAACCTGGTCCGTGAGCACGTAGAATTTTGTCCAATGACCCCATATAATTACACGCGAGCGATAAGGATGGGTAGCTTGGGGTCATTGGACAAAATTCTACGTGCTCACGGACCAGGCTTTACTCGTAGTACTTTAGAATTCAGATTGATAAATTAAAATTTCCTTACCAGGCCTCGGTTCCGTATATCCCACGCCAAATAACCTGGAAAAGCATGTAAAGATGTGCCAATACAATTTCTTTTACACATCCAACTTGCCCGAACGCTACCCTTGGCCACCGGAAAGGGTCGACTATACCGAATCTGCAGGGCTGTCACCTTGTCAAACATAAAGAAACAGAATATAGATGTTAAGATATCGAAGAAGAGATTTTAGTTTATTTTAATTGTGAAAATGGCATAGTCGGAGTGGAACCTACATTTCTAAAGGAGATGTATATGCGTTTTGAGGTTACTTAAGATATTTTACGTACCTAATGTTGATGTAGTTATCTTTTCACTTTGTATTCCAAAAATAATTTTAGCTCACTCAGAAGTGAGATGTGAATATTTTAATGACAATTCTATTTATCTTATGTAGTATATCGTTTCGAATAGGGTAATTGTAATACTTATAGATATAGTCATACATACGTTGCGTCAGTATATGAATAGTCCTGTAAAAACTTCATTTGTAAATTATGTTACAAGTATGTATAGTTCTAAAATGTTGATAACTCCGGTCTTTATACATTTTGATGTTGAATAATTAATTTAATCGATTTTAATTCATTTCAGGCCTGGCCTCCGTCTACCCCGAGCCTAAAGATCTGGCGAAACACGTTCAAAACCAAATGTACAGCTATTACTACGAGACCTCCATGCCAGTTGTATGGGACTGGAAGCCTGAGGAGACATTCAACGTGCGACCCATCCAGCCAGTGCCCAAAAACATCTAAACAGTATTATTAATTTTAAATAACTTATTTCTTACCGGTATTAACTTTGACGATTTACCTAACGACGCGTTGACTTCAGATACCACGTTTGTTGGATGGTTCTATAGCTAAGTTCAGGCAGGCGTTTGCCCGTGGTATCACGTCAACTGGAGTGTTTCATATTTGTTCCATTTGTTTCATAGGTATATGACGCTGTTTACAAAGTTTTTTATTTAAAAAACACGCTAAACGACTAAAATATGTCGAGTAACAGATTCTGTTACACATTTGAGTATTATTTTTAAGTCAAAATCATTTGACTGTTCACGTATTTATTGTCATTTATTTTATTTAAAATCCGGGTAAAAATAATTGTTGCATAAGATATAATTATCGATTACAATACAATGATGGAATTTAATGTTCTTAAATAATGTTGAATGTTGTAAGGAGTTAGTCGGATATTATATTCATCTAATCATATTGCATGTAGTGTTTTTGACCGTCATAAGTTTACGTGCGGGTAGTGTAGTAGTGACGCTATATCGATGTTACACTTGCATGTTCAATGTTAATAAATAACGGGGCCTTTGAAACACATTGTTTAGCTTCTCCCACTAAATATTTACGCACTGGCGACTTACGTATCGATAAAATTGTGTGATATTTGTTAAAATCTAACTAGCGTTTATTTTCACGTTTTTATTATGATTTATATTTGGAATTTATATACAGAAATTTAAGTTGACGGGCACATGAAATATTTGTTATTTGTTTGAAACAAAATTTCGCGTCGCAGTATATTTTGCTAAGTCGCATCATTATGTTATAATAATTTTATTTTAAGTCATAAATGAAATGTTTTATTATGAAACAATCGTCCTACTTAATGTTGTGAGTATTATTTTATATTTGACAGTATGACTCGTATACGGGATGTACAGGCGACCGCACATCAGGTTTTACAGTTTTGTTGTAAAGTAGCACTTATTTCAAGTGATTAATGCCCGTTTTCACCATCAATCCCTAATTTTTAAGTGACCCCTATGGTAACACATAACAGGAATTTTGTTTTCATAGGGGTTACTTAAAAATAAGAGATTGATGGTGAAAACGGGCATAAGGCGCTACAATGATTATCTTGATGTTCCGTCGTCCGTACCTAACAATCAAACTCTAGTCACTGCAGCATTACATTTAATGGAATATCATCAAAAAATTATATGCAGGTCATGAATTTTTTGCATTTTCTATTATGAATATTTTAAGACATGAACCAATAATGTGAAATGAAACATTTAGAACGTAATACGTAGAACGTTTAAATTATAATAATAAAACAAGCGAAATGTAGTGCCACTATTTGGGCTATACTATTAAAAATAAAATAGATTCAGTATTGAATTAGTATTATCGAACTTGTTTACTGTATTGCCATAGTATTGTGTTGTATTTTGACAATCATGCTTTGATCTAAGAAAAAGAAACAAAAAGATGTGTGGCTGTCCAGTAAAGAATTTCTGAAAATCAACACATTACATACCTATTAATTAAATATTTAATTTCATCCTACTGTATGTCCCATTAGATTAAAAAAACCCTTCGGTCGTAGTATTAATTTAATTCTGACTGGAAATTTATTGTAGTTTTAGTTTTTGATGTACATTTTGTAGTGAGTCAGTTTTATTTCGCTGAGCGAAAGGAACGAGTTTGTTTTAAGTATTTCATTTGTTTGGTCTATTTATTTATGTGAAGTATCTTTGATACGAAGTGATTATGTTGCTGTGACGATGTATATTATAAATTATGGGTAAATATAGCAGCTGTACAAATACAGAATTAACTTTGCCTGTCTGATCTTACAGTTAATTACGATGGAATTGTTTTATTGTGAGTTGTCAATTATCATGCAATATTAATTGTTCTATGATCTTGATGTATCAGGGTCTCATTTATTTTTACAATTTCTTATTTAGGTCAATTATCTTGTTCCCCCCTCCCGCAAATAACGCAGCTTATAGAAAAAGTTAATGTATGTTTAGTTAGTTCAATTGTTACAAAAACTATAGATGTTACTAATTAAACATGTTCAAAACAGATTGTGGTTTCATTGTTTTGTCGTCCAAGCCTATTAGATTAGCGAAGCGATTTCTAATCGGATCGGTGATAAACATTGTACTGTCTAGAGGTCCTTGTTGGTCAATTGATTGCTTAAAATCGATTGAAGTGTGCTCAGCAATCTTAAGCCTTTGATAACAATTTATTTTCCTATTATTATTTCATATTAGAATATAGCAATAATAATATGCATAAACATGGTGTAATGATTTCATTAGTTATACACACTAAAGTTATTTTTATTAATCCGTTGGTTTCATCACAATTTTTTTCATGATTTTTTGCTTTTTAAAATCTGTATCCACAACTAAAGGTACGGAGCATTCAAAATAAAATCTCTTTGAAAATACCTAATCTGTCAAGAGTCAAAGAAGAAAGAAGAAGAATTTGATTGACATAGATTGTCATACATTTCGAACGATTTACCAATGCGAAGTATTTTTTGAGATGTTTTCTAATATTTGTAGATTATTATTGTGAGTATTGTCTAACATTTTATTAGCTAATGACTGCGCAATTCCGGTTTGTAATTTGACAGAAATATTAATAATATTTTCAGATGTAAAATAGTGAAAACGCCCAATCAGGCGCTACTGGAAATTGTAGTGAGTGGACCAATAGTTTTTGAGCCTTTTACAATACAATGTAGAGGCCACTCGAAAAAGACAGTAAGTGGCTTCACTTCGAACAGGGTGAAAGGCATCGATCATCTGAGAGATCCAAGACTAAATAAGGTATTTATTTTTGCAATGTGTCGTTAGCTACGCTTTATTCTTATTGCGCAAGTACACTATGCGGGAGAAATTGACCGAAACGTATAGTCCGTTCTCCAACCGCGCGTCGCCCATACTTCGGTGTGCGGGCTCGTGCTTCGTCTCGGTAAATTTTACACATACCTAGTGTACTTGCGCCATGACATGAGGTTGAATCAAAATGACCATTATTAATTATTTACCCACATTTTTGTACTTAAACACCGGTAACAGTGGTGTGTGTCAAATATTTTATGCATCTAGTGCCCAGATGTAAGAGATTCATGCCCGTTTTCACCAGCAATCCCTAATTTTTAAGTGACCCCTGTGAAAACAAAATTCCTGTTATGTGTTACCATATAGGGGTCAATTAAAAATTAAGGATTGATGGTGAAAACGGGGACTAGATTGCAAAGACGTTACCTAATTGTAAAGATAAAATATTGCTTTGCGATGTAACTTGTTTCTTAAAATATAATAATTTTTGATCTTTACCGACGCTAATTTCGTCAGCTTGGGCTAGTTTTAGTTTTAATTCATCGTGTTCTTTCATAGGGTCTGGCTTTTACACTGCAAGAGCGTCAGGCTCTAGGTATCCAGGGGCTGTTGGCAGCGAGATACAAAACGCAGAAGGAGCAGGTGGACATCTGTAGACTCTCCTTGGATCGATACGAGAATGATTTGAACAAATACATTTATCTTACAGAATTGCAGGTACTTTAGTGGTTAAAACATTGACCTTAAACTATTCCATCTTGTCAAAAATTAATACTGTACGTACGTACAATGATCTGATCGGGCTAACTGCCCACCTCGCTGGAATGCGACTCTCCCTCTCACTTACCCGCACACTTATTCCCTGCGTTCGTCCCATCTGTAACAGAGCGTCGATGTGATGTCACGGCTGCCAGATGTGCAGTTAACTTGACCGGATTGTAGTAGTAAGTAGAAAGCTGTCTAATTTCCGTCTTTTTTTAGGATCATAATGAAAAACTTTTCTTCAGACTTCTCTCGGAAAATGTTGAGAGATATATGCCTATTGTGTACACACCGACCGTTGGCCTGGCTTGCCAGAGATTTGGTTTGGTCTACAGAAGAATCCGGGGTCTTTTCATCAACATCCATGATAAGGGGCACGTAGAGCAAATATTAAATAACTGGTTAGTAATGTGTGTTTCAACTTAATGTTACTTGAATAATAAGACAAATACGTGGGCTTTTTATGCGCTTGATGCGAATGAGAAAAGAACCATCTATGTACTCATTTGCGTCCCGTCACAGTCCTCTTGGTCACGTGTACAATTTAAGTTGGTTGGGTTTTACGGCCAAGGGTACAGCGGTTAAAATTTATTTTCCACTGTACCATTAAGGGAACAGCCAAGGGTACACAGGAAAATAAGGGGCTCTATTTATGAACCTAAGAGATGTAAATATATAAAGAGCTTCAGTTACTTATCTACATGGCTCGATAATTTTGTGTCCAATTTCCCCAAAATCTTCAGTTTCAGCACTTTAACGAGGCAAAATGTTTTAGGCCAGAACGCAACGTGCGTGCCATTTGTTTCACCGACGGCGAGAGGATTTTAGGCCTCGGTGATCTAGGTGCCTACGGGATGGGCATCCCGGTTGGCAAGCTTGCTCTGTACACAGCTTTAGCTGGGATAAAACCTCACCAGTGTTTGCCGATTACGTTGGACGTAGGAACTGATAATCAGGTAAGCCTATTTCTGTCCATAGTTTTAACCGCCTCTGTGGACTAGTGGTAAGACCACCTGCTTCAGACGCAGAGGTCCCGGGTTCGTTTCCTAGTGGGGGCAGATTTTTCGGTTCGGTTTGGTTGGTGGTAGGGCTTGTTCTAAGTCCGCCTGGCTAAGCTACCACCATCTTACCTAAGTCTGTCGCCATAACAACAATGTTAACAGCATTGTTGTGTCCCGGCAGTTAGAGGTAAGATAGTCAGTTCCTCCGTGGTTGACGATTCCGGGTGAAGCTCGCTTCCACCTTCGGCCTGATCATCACTTACCATCAGGTGTGATACAGGCCAAGAGCTTCCTCGTTGTTGGTAAAAAAAAGTCTCCCCACAGGCAGGCCACAGCCACAGCCACAAATTGACGCCACCAGCATATTTCCTGTAGTTTTCATACATTTTCTTATCGGCCACATAATAAAATGAACCTAATTTGTTCGGGCTACTACCAGCGCTATAGCTATAACACCAACCTGGTGTTGGTGTTAGAAGTGTAGCACTTAACTCAGTTACTGTCTGAGGTATGGGAGCGGCACGGAAGGGGTAACATTGACGTGACAGAGCAATTAATAAAATCTTAGATTTTAAGAGATCTGAAGTCTCGGCGACGTTTGATTTTACAAAAACACTGGAGCGGCAAGCTCTCATTCCTCAGGCACTGACAGACTTATCGTCGGCGATTCTGGGAAAACATAAACGTCTAAAGTCAATCTTTACGACCTATTGTACATGTTTTTTCCTGTAGAGTCTTCTAGAAGATCCTCTATACATCGGCCTTCGTCAAAAGAGAGTAAGAGGGCAGGAGTACAGCGACTTCCTTGATGAATTTATGGAGGCCTGCGTCAGAAGATATGGACAGAACACCCTTTTACAGGTAAATATGGCTTGGATTTAGATTTTTTTAATGCTAAAGGTACTTTAATTTGCGCTTTAGTCGTTAAAATAGCCATACATACTTCTGTCCTATCACTTGGAAAATGTTTTATTTTCGTGATTTCGCAAACGTGAAAATTCAGGTGGCTGGCCTTTTCATTACGTAACTCACTAAGCTTTGCTTTGTACATTAAAAGAGACCTACATTAAAATTGTTTTCTCTAGCTGAGCCTTCATTGTATAGAGCTGCTATTACGTAGGTAGTGTACTGAAGTTGGATAATACTGTGATGTAACATTTCATAGTAGGTAAGTATGTCGTCATCTACTTCGTTCAAAATGTTGATTTATTTATATTAAAGTGTCAAAAATATAGCTGATCAAAATCTTCTTCCCTTTATTCATAAGCGTATAAACAACGAATAACCAGTTTGTTTGTACAGTGTAGAGCGTTAATAATATTCGTAATCCAACATTGTTCAAAATTATCATTTTATACAATGAATATGGCAGCATCGTTAGTAATACTACAGACTGAGTGAGCTCTTGTCCAATTCCAGTTTGAAGATTTCGCTCTAGTGAACGCGGAGCCTCTTCTCTCGAAGTACCGTGACAAGTACTGCACATTCAACGACGACATCCAGGGCACTGCCAGCGTGGCGGTCGCGGGCCTTTTGGCCGCCACTCGGGCCACTAAGAGGAGTATAAAGGACAACGTCATTATGTTCCTTGGCGCGGGATCTGTGAGTGTCATATGCTTTGTTTAACTATAATTTAAAGCATCTAGGTATTCTGTAGCAGTCTAGATCAAGGCAGATTCAAGTAGGAATATAGCATAGGTCGACTACTCACTAAATACCGTGACAAGTACTGCACATTCAACGAAGACATCCAGGGCACCACCAGCGTAGCGGTCGCAGTTGCACATTATGAAGTTCAAAACTTCAAAAGGCCTGCATACTTATAAGTGCAAATAGACTGATCAATTGAGACTCAAAGGCAAAGGGACTTTGGTGTGTAACTTTGATCATCATAATCATCATTTCAGCCATAGGACGTCCACTGCTGGACGCAGGCTGCTACCAATCGATCAACATGGAAAACTTTGATCATATTAAAAAGAAAACCCTATTTCAGGCGGCAAACGGAATAGCAAATCTAACTGCACAAGCGATGGTGGAGGAGGGATTGCAGCTTAAAGAAGCACAGGGCAAAATATACATGTTCGACATAGACGGCCTCCTCACGTCGAAGAGAGAGGGCGGTGTCCCCGCCCATGCCAAGAACTTTGGCAAGGATTGCGAGCCAGAGAAAGATTTTCAAAAAGCTGTGGAGAAATTCAAACCCACTTGCCTAATCGGTGAGTCTTTTATAGCAAACACTATGGCTAAGTAGGTAAGTATACCTACCTATACCACTAATGGGTAGTTTAGATTAGCTCGCAGAGCATCACGCAGTTTTCCATAGTCTTTGTATAGTTTGCGGTTGGCACACAGCTATGGAAAACCACATCAGCTATGCGAACTAAACTAAATTAGGTACTTAAATTAAACTAGCAACAGACCAAAACTCTGCAACTTGCATAAATGGTACTTAATAGAAATTGTTACGAAATCTTCTTGGTTTTCGGTATAACGAATTTTCGAAGTTTCAAGACAGATTTTTGCAATTAGTATTTTACAAAATCAATGATTTGCAGTGCAATNGCCAGGAAAAAATCCTTTCTTGCAACACATCTATGGAAAACTTAACTAAATACTAAACTACCTCTTGGTCTGCAACTCAAATAAATAGTACTTACAGAAATTGTTACGAAATCTTAATTGGTTTTCGGTATAACGAATTTTCGAAGTTTCAAGACAGATTTTTGCAATTAGTATTTTACAAAGTCAATGATTTGGAGTGCAATGGCCAGACTAAAAATTTCAAGGTTGTTCGTAACGTTAGATCCAAGCTGAAAGTAATCGTGAGAAGGGTTGTGTTAATCCTAAAAAGATGTAGATTTGTTTACCACATACCCTTTTATCCCAAAATGGTGACAATAATAGACATGCTCGTAAATATTTAAATGAAAACACTATTAAAATTACATGCACGGGCTTGGAAAAACATTCTTTAAAATTAGCTGTCTCTAAGTACTTTTTAGTTTTAATAAGTGGTGTGTAAAAATGGGAGCTTTCTCTCCCTCCCCGCTCTAAAACTAAAATTCCGAGTGTGTTCATGAAAAATTTTTTATCAAGCTATTTTTTCTGTCGCTGAGAGGTGAACCAGGCGAACAGTTATAAAGGGGTTATCCAATTAAATAATTGTTACAATAGGTTGTTCCACCGTCGGCGGGGCATTCACGCCGGCCATATTACAACAAATGGGCAAGAATAGCGACAGACCAATTATTTTTGCTCTGTCGAACCCGACAAGCAAAGCGGAGTGTACCGCGCAAGCGGCTTATGATAATACGGAGGTAAGATTAACTCTGGTCAAAAATGTCCTTTATTTACTCTACTACCCTTTACACAAAGGCACGTCGCTGGATTTAAAAACAGCGGCGACCGCAGTGTTTTGTGAAATATTCAAAAAGTTGACATTTTAGGGGATTATGACCGTTTGCCTTTCTGGAAATCTATAAAACGGGCTCCAAATATGAAGGATTATGCAATATGTATTCTGGGATAAGGCCTATACTTAGTATTTATATTTTGTGCCTCTAGGGTCAGTAATCCAATTCAGATAAATAATATGTAAGTATATCCAATTCCAGGTCGTCAAATTACCTGTGTAGAAGCCCTCACAGTCCACCACACGCTTTGATCGTCAACTGTTCTCTGGGGTCTAATTTGTAAAACAATTTCAGGTCCATTAGTGTCTTCGAGCGATTGTTAGGGTCGATTTCATTAGAAAACTTTGCAGGGTAGCCTGATTCGTTTTGTTAAATTCCAAAACAGCGCTTCTCTATTCCAGAAACATTTGATGACTTGACAATACATACTCAGTCATTTAAGTCACTAACTTTATTCGAACCTGTTTATCCCCGACTTTTTATATTTTTATCAAAATTAGGTTATTTTCTAGGGCCGATGTGTCTTCGCATCGGGCTCTCCGTTCCCACCGGTGGAATACGGCGGCAAAACGTACCTCACCGGTCAGGGAAACAATGCTTACATCTTCCCCGGATTGGCTCTTGGAGTCTTAGCCACGATGTCCCATAACATTCCTGATAGCATGTTCCTGGGGGCTGCTAGGGTAAGTAATAATAATAATTTGAAATCTTAAGCGACCAATAACACTTGCAAAATTTGACTTTCGCAAGCTGTCACCACTATGTAAATCTTGCAGAAGTTGACTTGCCGGCGGCGCAGCTATTTATACTGTGGTAAACTGCTTGCGTAAGTCAACTTCTGCAAGTTTTATTGCTAGTCTAATGCCCGTTTTCACCATCAATCCCTAATTTTTAAGTGACCCCTATGCAAACACAATTCCTGTTATGTGTTACCATAGGGGTCACTTAAAAATTATCTACACTAATATTATAAAGAGGAAAACTTTGTTTGTTTGTTTAGTTGTAATGGATAGGCTCAAAAACTACTGGACCGATTTTAAAAATTCTTTCACCATTCGAAAGCTACATAACTCACGAGTAACATAGGCTAAATTTTATTTTGGAAAAAAATAGGGTCCCGTAAAATATTTGGGATTTTCATAAGACGTGGAAAAGCGCCATCTATCGTCATTGGTTAAAAGCTTCTTGCGCCTGACAGAAATTTTTGAGGTACGTAAATATTCATGAAGGCAAAGCTGTCAAACGCCATCTATCGACATCATTAGTAAATTAGTAACTAAATATTACATGTACTATGAATAGCGCTGTTCGTAAATAATATTGAAAATTTAATAAATAAAGATATTTTATGTAACTGAACCATTCACTGTATGTACCTATTTGAATCATTCACTATGTTTAAACGAGCAAATCAAAGTGTTAATTAGTGACTTTTTACAAACTTCCTTGCAAATTCTTACTATGTGCCGCCATCTACCGAGATGAATATTAGGGTACGGTTCAGCGGCGGACAAATGAGATGGGCGCGTGGGCGATTGTAGTTAAATAGGATAAGAATTACCTACTTCGTTTTTATTTTCTGTATGTAATTTGTTAATTTTTTGGTAGGGTCTTTATTTTAATTACTTAGGTTGGTAGGTATTTACTTATTTGACTTTAATGATAATTACTATAGGTACGTATAATTTTAGTAGAAAGAAAGGTCATTGAATGACTAAGTGACTCACTCACTCATCACGAAGTCTCAGAAACTACAAGTCTCAAAAGAGTTCTCAGGGGTTAATGCTCTATTCCACCTGGCTTTGATCACCAAGATGATCAAAGTGGACTCCAGTTAAATTATATTTTTAGTATTCTTTGATCACCATAAATAAATCATACCTCTGAATTGTCACATACATGTCCAATTTGTTTATTGCGGTTTTTAGAAAATATCAAAAATGTTACAAAACAAAATATGTAGTACAACAATTGGACATGACGTGTCTATTCAGAGGAGGTGTGATTTGTTTGTAGATGATCAAAGGACACTAAAATAATAATTTGACTAGAGTCCACTTGGCTCACCCAGGTCATCGTATCCGTGGGTGATCAAAGGCACAGAATAAATTCAAAGGACACTAAATTGTCGCTGTAAGTCCACTTTGATCACCTGGCTAATCAAAGCCAGNAAACGTAGCGTGGGCAGGCCTCCTACTAGGTGGACCGACGATCTGGTAAAGGTCGCAGGAAGAGCCTGGATGCGGGCAGCGCAGGACCGTTCATTGTGGAAAACCTTGGGGGAGGCCTTTGTCCAGCAGTGGACGTCATTTGGCTGAAACGAAACGATATTGATGGTGAAAACGGGCATAAACCTCGCATTTTAATAACTGTGATAGCCATTATGCGTATATTCAAATAGCAGTGCTATAGTTAAAGAAAGAAGAGCTTTAAACATAGGACAAACTTGCACTCTACTGGTTGAGTGGTGTTTTTATTGGCGGTTAAACTGTTAGATTTTAGCTACAAAGAAGTTGCAACGGTGGGGCCGAGAGATAGCAAGTCCCGATTTATGCTATTCCAATAAAGAGTTATTAAATGTTTTATATCCTACTTATAGTGAGAGAAAGAGCAAAGATTTCCAGCAATCTATTTTGGCCATTATATCGAGTAAACTTCACTTTATTAAATCATTGTTGAAAACTTCCTTGATTAAATGGATCATAATCTTGAACAGTTGAACTGGGCAATCCTCCAATAAACGTCTTATGAAAGTGGTTTTCTTGGGTTTTCCTAAGTAACACGTTCATCGGGAAAACGTGAACTCCAAGAAAATGTTTTTCTATGAAATATTTTATCAGCGATAAAGGTATGCGAAGTGGGTAATATCAGCAATTAGGGAGCTAATAGTTAAATAGGTTGCTATGTTGTCTAAAAGGGGTGTAATTTATGATATTAAGCCTATTTACTAAAGTCTTAAGCTTATCAGAAAACTTATCATTTTTTATTTAATGTGAAAAAGCGTCAAAGTGAAGAATTTTCTACTCAAGTTAGTATCTACTACGGACTTACACCAAATTACAGCAAAAACACCGTCCGTAGTGCGCACGCTTTATCCCAATGTCAAATCCAATTTGCGCTCATATTGATCACTTACATCAGTAACAATTAGCTTGCCAAAAAAACTATCTCTTCCAATATATTCAGCGTATGGGCCTCCCAGAGGAAATTATGAAAATAGACGGGAGAAAAGAAATAAATGTTTAATGATTTTTTCAGGCGTTGGCGAATTTTGTGAGCGAATCCGACCTGGAAAAAGGCCGTATTTACCCCGCCTTGTCTCAAGTGAGGGAAGTTTCGTATGCGATTGCCAACGCGATAGCTAAAATGGCCTATGATCTGGGTGAGAATCATTATCATAACTTAATTAACGCTTTAGCAGAGAATGTAGTAACATTGTGAGAATAAAACGGCAGTTCATTAGGACTTTTCTATTGACCGCACAAACAGCACCAACGATGAAAAAACAATTGAAAATAGCACTGACACTAAGGGTGGGTTGCATCATCTTACTTTAACTTTGACAAACGTCAAAAATCTGTCAAACTCCATAAAAAAATACACCGTCAAGTCAAGTCACTGTTAAAATAGAGTGATGCAACTCAGTCTAAAGTATCTTAAGTAATTTTAACAAGAATGTGTGTGTAGTCAATAAAAGCGGACGGTAACAAGCGCGTCTCATAATTTTAGGATACGATTAAACAAGGTTTTTTTTCTAATTAAGTAATAGTTAAATATTTATTTATATTTTTCATGTGACTAGGTATTTTCATGTGCACTGCTCTGAGATTGGCGTTGTTTTACAAAACCACACCCTGTATGTATAGTTGTATCACCAACTGATGCAGTACCAATAATGACCATGGACCATCATTCTCGTTCATACCAGATGTAGCCACAGTGTACCCGATGCCGCAAGACCTGACCGCCTTCATAAAGTCTCACCTCTACGACTTTGGCTACGAAACCTACCTGCCGGAATTCTACGACTACCCCGAACTACCTTCTGTCAACGTCAAGAGCATAGAAGAAGTTTATCAATCAATAACGTTGGTATTTATAGCTTACTAGCTTTCCGCCCGCGGCTTCGCCCGCGTGGAATTTTGTCTGTCACAGAAAAACTTTATCGCGCGCGTCCCTGTTTCAAAAACCGGGATAAAAACTATCCTATGTTCTTTCCCGGGACTCAAACTATCTCTATGCCAAATTTCATCAAAATCGGTTGCGAGGTTTAAGCGGGAAAGCGTAACAGACAGACAGACAGACAGACAGACAGACAGACAGACAGACAGACAGACAGACAGAGTTACTTTCGCATTTATAATATTAGTTGGGATATTAGTTGGGATTGGGATAGTTGGGATGTACGATATAGTCATGTGATCCGTCTCCGTCCGATCCGTCGTTTGCCTCCTGTCCCATAAAAAAGCTGAACCTGAGCTGGAAACATTGAATTTTCGGACAGATTAATTTTATTCTGTAACCATTTGATAGAGCTCATGAAGCACTTTCAGCATCAGTAACTAGTTTTTTGATATCTTGTATAGTTTAGAAATAATCGAGTGAGATCACTTATCGTCTCCACCCTGTATAAGTGCCAAACACTGGTCAAAATTTTAGGAAAATCATTTCTTTTTCACACTAATTTTACATGAGACGAGACGAGAGAAAACGAGAGTTTAATAGTATGGCAGAGTTACACCATCTTACTTTAACTTAACAGTCACGGTTAAAATACGGTGGTGCAACTCAGCCAAAGAAAGACAAAAATGTGTAGTTTGATTTTTCAACCTGACATTTGGAAATAATTTTTTTTAATTTAATTACATCATTGCAGAGAGAAGAAGGCGAAGAAGAAGTAGAATTTGAGCTTTGATTTAAGAACAATTGGTAAGTTTATAACTCATATTTCAAATAAAATGTAATAAAACAAAGATCAATAAATCAAGTTATCTATTTCCCACACAGGTACTAAGTAAATCTGAACTCCCACAACTGAAAACTGACTTCTCTAAATTGTTAAGTCCGTTTTAACTATGGACCGGAAAGTTGGTTACACGTTTACTGTTATATTACCCCTATTAATATTTTTGAAGTAAAGTGTTAATAATTTAACTAATCAGTTTTTTTGTCACCGCAAAATCTATTTGATTTTGAAATGTAGAGTTACTCGGAATGAGGATAAAAATAGAAAAAGATAGAGGGGAAAAGGGAAAAAAGGAGAGATGAAAGCCACTAAAGGGGTACTTGACTCGATTCACATCATTATTGCACAAAAAAGGACTGATTTTTACGTTACCATAGCACTCACGTAGAGTTAGAGTAGAGTAGAATTGTAGCTGAAATGTATAGTTTCAAAAAATACAGGTTCTCTTGGCTATTTCAATGACTGTAGTCATTGTCATACACAAGGTGATTTTGCAATCAGTATCCATTTTTTAAAAAACAATTTAACAATACTACTTTTTCTTCATTATTTTTAATCGTTGTATTTTTCGCAAAATAATATTGAGAATCTAATTAGCAGGTACCCATATCTTAAGTTTTAAGGTTAAGGCTTATTTTCGCGCGCATTATGTCTATTAAGCTTTGCATTTACTTGTGTAAGTTGTGTGTTACGTATTTTTCTATGAAGGAAGTAAATTATCCACGTGAGCCAATTTCGGAAATAAATAATTATAAGTATGGAAAAAAAATGTTTTCTTTACATAAATCGATTAAGTTATCGATTCTGAGTCGCTCCTAATTTGGAAACTGATTGCAAATTCACCCTGTATGACTCTATGATAGTGTCCAATCAAACAATGGCATATCTTATGCCTTTGTTACTGTCTATACAATAAAGAGTTGCCCGTAACTCACGTTATTCTTGGCTCAGGGCATACCTACTCGGCATCTCTGTTTACGACCAATAAACTTCTTAATATTTTTCTTAATAAACGCCGTAAAACTCCAACTTGATGCATAATGCATTTAATTATGACTCTTCCCTGAAGTATTAAGTTTATTTCAAAGTTTTTATCTGCGCTTTTACAATTTTTCGCAAATAAAATGTGAATAGGTAATAATAATTTTTATTTGACTCTGTGATTAATAGAAGTCCTTGATCACTTTGATAAAAAATATTATTATTAATGGTAGAATTAATTGCCTATGTTTTTTTTTAGTTTAATGCGCGTTTTCACCATCAATCCTTAATTTTTAAGTATAATAACACGTAACAGGAATTTTGTTTCAATACTCAATAAGTTTATTGCTTTCATAATAGTAATTTCCATAGGGGTTACTTAAAAATTAGGGATTGATGGTGAAAACGGGCATGAGAAACCTAAAAAAAGGTTCTAGTTCTAACCTCAAACTCCATATTCTAATTCAATATTAATATCCGCAAAGCACTGTATTATTCTAATGCGAATAGAGTTGAAATTTGCGTAGAACCGGTTTATATTCATAAGGCGACGAACAAACGATTCCTTTGGACAGGTGCGAGGTGATCTATGACCGTTACATGCTCTCTCTTGCTGCGGGATACGTTGGATTCAATTCTAGAATTTTGGATAAGTTTAATACAAAATTTTGAGCAGATAATGCTCTGCATTGTTCAAGAAAAGGATGAACCATACTCGGATTTTGAGTGTCATATTTGGGACAGGTACTCGTACTAACTACCTAAACAAATATGATGAATAAATAAATAAGCCTGTGAAAAAATGTAACCTATAACTTCAGAGACTCGGGTTCCATTATTTAACACTGAAGCACGGACGCATGACCAATATGTATAGGACATTTTTTAACTATCACCTAAATATTATCAGGTAGGTATAACATAATAGGATAACCAAAGTAGGGTAGTGCTAACAGTAAGAGACCAAAACAAACTCACACATAAGCTATACTTCATTACTTATACGTAGCTTCTATCGCAGCTAGAAATCATAGCGTGGAATTACTCACGAACCTATTGATTGGACCTATCCTATTTTTCCGAAATCTCTCATATGCAGTAACAATAAGTCTTGGCCAAATAACGTTGCCATATACTACAATATGCCTATCCTATTTCCTTCATATTCATTTACCTTAGGGTTATTTGTCATACTCATAAAGCATATGATTGCGTCCTGCCCGATAAAGTACATATAAGCTCGAACGCGATCTTTAGCTTGGGGTATTCTGGAACTAAATTCTACGAAATAAATATAGGGTGTATGAGACTGGTTTTTGATTGGGACATAAAACTCACACCACATTTTGTGCAGTCAATAGCACTTCAGACTTAAATTGATAAATAATATATTGATGAGTAGACTTAACACACTCAAAACTCAACACTTATAGGTATGAAGCATATTATAATTGGGCCATTTATTCATTACAGTCTATAAAATAATTAATATCACAATTATAATATTTACGATTTCAATAAATGATTGCAGTGGTAGTTTGTGCTTTAAGATAACAACTGACGCTCGTTAGTCGTTAGCCATTTGTATATCCCACCCACACAAAATCATATCACAGCAATAAAGCCTGATTACAGTTGCTGCAATAATCACCGCTAAAATTAGTCATGTCGCAAACTCCACCCTTGGCCTTGTGTTGTAGGGTGTATTACAGGAGTTATAATACGAGTTATGAAGTGAAATAGATTCAATAACACTCCTACATTTAGCATTGGAACCCGGAACGTCTGAGAAACATAACTCGTAACTGGATACAAGATTAGGGCTGGCTGATATTGGTTAAAGTGATAGTTAATTTGACTGAAAATATACCTAGACATCTCTACGAGCTTGGACTGAGGCCATTGTCCAGCAGTGGACGTCAATTGGCTGAAACTAACGAAGGAACGAATACCTAGACATTTATATGCAAATACTTATTTTCACAGAAAACAAATTGGCTAATAAAGATTCAACGAAAGATCTAGAGTTATTTCTACCAAAAGATGGCGTATAAAATAATTGAAGATGAAGATAAAAATAATCAAATTAAACAAATTACGAAAATAAAGATAAAAGCTAAGCTTCTCAGATTACAGTCATAGTATGTAAAATCAGATTAACTTTGGAGTAAACTGTAAGTACCTACGAACAAAACCTCTGTGTTCATCAATTAGATCCCGTTTTCCTGATTGCTACACTCCCCTGAGTCTGAAACCAGACCGTTGCGGCGAATGTCAGTCATACAGTTTCTTCTCTCACTCTCATTGCATGTAAACGGGACTATTCCCACCTCTCGTTCCCACCACTGCAACTCCTGTGTAGCCAGGATCTACAGCTTGACCGCCACAAAAACCCAACCAATGAAGGTCAAGTTTGTCCCGGGGGAAAGTTAAACTGTCATTGGACCAGCAACGAAATTAATCAGAAGAACATAGGAGGAGTTCGAAATTAAGGTTCGACTTCCCTCCATTGCATGTAAAGGTGAATTGCACAAAATCATTTCGAAATAACTCCACTGCATATTGTACACAACCGCAACCCTACCGCTGGCTCTGGTGGCAACGGTCCAGTGTAATCGACGGAGCAGCTGGCGCGTCACGTGGCCGGATATTGTGCCAGTTAGCCCGCGTCCAACTATCAACACTTACCGCCACACACGGGACCGCGGACCGCTTTGGTTATACAGGGTGTTTAGGAAGTCACTGATGAAGTCTAATTCATGGGTCTCATCGTGATATTATTATGCTAAATGTCTAACAAATTGTTTACGTAAGAAAAATTTTCTGAGCTTTATATGACGCAGGTAAACGATTTTCGTCTTTAAGCCTAGGCGCAGACCACCGACTTTTAGTTGGCCGTTAATTGAGTCGGGCTGTTAATCAGTATGGACAATGGACATGTATGAAAGTGTGCACATTAATTACACCAATTTGATATCGGCCGATTCTTCATACAAATTAAAATCGGGCCCAACTATCGGCCAACTAAAAGTCGATGGTCTGCGCCTAGGCTTAAAGTTTGTAATTCTTCGTCTTCTTTTACGAGTACTTGTATGAGCTGTAGCAGTCGCGGTGTCTTTTGAGCTCCTATCCAGTCCTAATGGTTTGTTTTATGTAATAGAGCACACAATGTATTTTTATAGGATTTTGAGTAACATTATAACATTGAATCCAGTATATCCGAGTCGGGAATCTTAAATTGTAAATGAACACGACACAGCTAAAGCCTAAAGGTTGTTAAATCGTCCGTATGTGTCCGTGTGTGTTTCTAGCAAATCGCGACGCGCAAGTCCAACAGCACTATATTCAACGTGACGTGATGAGCGTGCTCGGCGAATATTGCTTGTTTTTACACCGACATGTTGCAGTGGAAGTCGCCTAGGGATGTGCGTGCATTCACACAATTTACTTCGACTATTACATTATGTACTATTAAGGAAGCAATAAACTTATTGAGTATTGAGTATTGAGTATCGTGCTGGCAGCAGTGTCAAACTTGCCGGTTTTTTGTTAAGATTATCTTTGTCGCGCTAGCGGTCAGTGTACGTAAACTCGTCAACGAGATTGTATCGCCGACGTCAAGTAATGGTTCATCAAATGATTAAAAAATAATCAGCAAAAGTATGTAAACATTATAATCCCCAGTTAAATTTCTTTGGACCTAATCCATAAAGTTTATATTGTGTGCAAGTTCATTTATTTGAGCACCATTAAACCTCAGAAAAGAAATCTATTAGAGACCACTGTTTTTTCTATTGATGTCTATCTATAGAAAAAACATGAGTCCTCATGTCATGAACGATTCCAGATTTCAGCACAATTTTTTCCCCATAAAAGTTAGTGCTTGTGACGTTTTTGTGTCATTGATCATTTGCTCACTACTAGTTCAACTTTTTGTAAGTTCTGCCGTTTGCACAGCGTACCTAATGTCCTCGCCCTCGTTGTTAATCTGCGTTTTTTAAGCGTTTTTAACCTAAATCATTAACAATCGCTCAATTCTATCATTCATAAGTAAACAATTGAAAAGCTGAAAAGAGCCCGTTGTTACAATAAACTACTTTAGAAATGTTTACGTTGAACTTAGCACTAAAGCTGTTTCACGAGATTATCTGTGATTTCACAATGAAAGTTTCCGACACGAGATCACGTTCAACACACGACCTCGG